TTATTCTTAACTGATTGTTCTGTGGCGCTTCTCTATAGCTTTTTAATAATTTATTAGGCATCAAGTGCGTCATGGGGAGTACAATGTGTGTATTTAAGTGTGTGTGTGTGTGTACGTGTGTGTGTATCTGTTGGCTTCAGTTTGGCTCTAATCAAAGAACAGGGAGCAGAGTGCTGCCTTGAGAGCACCGGAGCATGACAACACACACCTGGTAAGCTGCTTATCACACTTTAATTTCACCTACACTGAGATCTGTGGATGCCAGCGTGACCAAACAGATGTGCTCGAGTGTGTTTGTATCGTATACAAGTGTGTGCGTGCGTGCGTGTGTGTGTGTGTGTGTGTGTGTGTGTGTGTGTGTGTGTGTGTGTGTGTGTGTGTGTGTGTGTGTTGGCGAACGTTGTGTTTGAAGTAGAACGAAGATGAAGGGAGATATAAACGCAGAGAGGAGAGAGTGCAGATTAAATGGAGAGAGAGATATCAACGACAAAGAACAAAAGGAAAAGATAAGAGGGGAGATAAGGGAGGAAATACAGCAGCAGTAGCCTAGGGAGAGACAGAGCGATAAAAAGAGAGGAGAGGGGGATACGAGGTTAAAATCTAAACAGGCCTTAGAGAGAGAGAGAGTGAGGAAAGATGGATTGTAGGGATTAGGCTAAAGCAAGGACAGTTTTGTATGAATGATTATTGCAAATTCTGTGTGTGTGTTTGTATATTTTTGGCCAGTTTGTAAGCATGAATCTTTCTGTTCCATCAGTTTGTGAGAGTCCCTTCTGGATAGAAAAGGCTTCACTGTACATAGTTTAAGATGATATGTTACTTTATAGAATTATATATATTTTTTCTTCCTCCCTCCTTGAATCTGAACATTAATAATTGTACTATCTTACTTGCACCATAAGAATTTGCATAGGCCTATGTCAATGTGTACACGGCAAGCTTTCTTTATTTTTCATCATAAACAATTCAAACCCATTCTTTAAACATATTGAGCTACATAATGGTGGTCCATCACTAATGTCGGTTGATATGGCCATCTGAGGGTGCTCCTGAAACTTTTACAGCTCTGAAAACAGCTAACCTGAATGTGATGAGTAGAGCTCGAGCAATGAGCCCTGACCTCTGACCTCGGACATGTGCTGTAAGCCTCCAGGAACCAACCCTCAGTATTGACACAACTCACAGCCAGTGGTTCAACATATCTTCTGCTGTCACTAAATCAACTGAATATATAAACACATCTGCTCATTGCTGTCGTATTGTTTATGTCCTTTTCCCTCATGAAGCAAAATTGTACATAGGTCTTGATAAGCCTCATCAAGGTAAAACTGAAAAGTTACATTAATGGCAGCAAACATTTAAAATCTCAAGAGGATATTTGCCTCATTATTCTCATTTCGAGCAAACCCTGCATGCAAAACAGAATGAGAAATTCAATTTCCAACTCCAAATTAACACTGATGTGCAGCAGCAAAACTTGAGCTCTTTCATGTGAATGCATCCCAGAGGGAATCTCTGTGCCACATCTAATACACCAAAACATCTGCGCGCGACAGTGGGACGGGCTTGTGGTTCTGCTGCTGAATTTCTGCCTCTGTGACTAATATAATGTAAGTCTCTTCCGCTCCCTCACTTCATCTCATGCTCCCTCTGCTCTTCTCTTTCCCTCTCTGTGTCCAAATTAAACACAAGGCGCAGGACACTCTGATAATGCCATCTGTTCATCTCTCTAGCTCTATCTATCAACCCCTCTGTCCTTTTTCCTTATTTTCCAACCTAACAGTCTACTGCCCCTGCTGAAGCTAGCGGGGTATACATGTGTGAGGTATAGTTTCTCTGTAGTTCTCTGTTTCTTCTTGCAACTGTTAAATCAGCGTTAAATCCCATCAGTGAGCGGCAGACAGAAGCTGCAAAAGACCTCTGTAGAATCAGACTTGTCACTTCTCTCTTGTAAGAGAAACACATCTGTATGAGTGTCTGATGCTACAGCCCCATTAAAATTGTATGAGGTGCCTGACGTTCCACCAGCAGCTGCAATTAAGAGCAATCCCAACATACACACATATATATGCATACACACACACCTCAGCCCACCCCTCGCCTAACCGTGGGCCTGGGATCTGACTATGAAAATGAGTTTGTGAGAAACTAATCATGCAGCTTAACAAGTGGAGCCAGGAAAAGAAGGGGGTGAGAAGGGAGGAGAGGGAGGAGACAGGGGTGTGAAACGGTCAAAAAGGTCAACTAATCAAGAGGAGGGGGAAATGAGACGAGGGGTAGAGGAACTGTGAGGGGGGAGGAGGGTGATGGTAAGAGTGCGAAAGAGGGACTGACGTTGAGAGGAGGACTTAGAAGAAGGGTTACCATAAATGACTGTGAAATGAGAATCGGGAGGAGGAAGTGTGAGTGTGCAGTGAGGGAAAAAAACGAGTATAAGACAGCAGGAAAAAAAGAGGGGATGAAAGAAGGATACCATGAAGAGATTTTAGAGAGAAGAAAAGCTAGCGATGACAGGGTTGGGTGTAAAAAAAAGAGAACATTCTGTAATATTCTTACTGGTGCAGGGAAACTGGGGGAGGAGTTGAACAGAGGACAGAGGGGATTTGAAGGGAAAGAAGAGATAAAATGTAAAAGAGGGACAGCATGGAAGGTTGGGGGACAAAAATAAAAGGAGGAATAAGGGAAAGATGAAGAAGCAATTCTTTTGGAAAGAAAAGAGCAGGACAATGGAAGGATGCGTGAGGAGGGAGAGAGAAATTCTCTGAAGTCATTTCTAAATCCTGTCAAAGACGGTTAGAGGCAGGGAGAGAGACGAGAGAGAAGAAGACACACAGGATAGAGGAGAGGAAGGGACAGGTAGAGGAAAGTGATCGTAGAGCTCAACGTTTTAGGAGAGACATGGAGGGGGAGATGTTGCACCATGCAGTGGCATTCAAGATTAAATGAAGCCATTTAATTAATGCTCTGGAATTATTGAAAAGAAAACTTCTGATTCAACTTTAAGAGAAGCGATGATCAGTAGATTAGTGAAGTGATCACAAAGGAAAATGATTTGCCAACAATTTTCCTCATACTATTGTTTCAGTCATTTTCCAAGCAAAAATGTCACAAACGTTGGTTCTATGTTCTTTAATGAAAGGGTTTGCTACTCTTCTTTGTCATGTATGTCAGTATATGAAGAGTTTGAGTGTTTCAGAAGTATATATCAGAAAATAAAGGAATTTTAAGACACTTTTGCTTCTGGGAATTCTCTTGGGAAAACAATCTGGAAAATTCTGTTAATCATCTTTTCACAATAAGAGACTAGACTGAAAAATTAATTTTCAAAAAAATCATATCTAACCATGTTGTTCAGCAAAGAGTAAGAAACCTGTGAAGGTGTTCTTTAAAAAAAAAAAAAAAATGTCAGTATTCACATTGTTCATATTTATGAATGTTCTTTACTGGGAAGGTGTCTAGACCAAATAAGGGACACTATCTCTTTACAAAAAATTAAAAACTCAAAGGGCAATGTAAGATACTCCAAATCGAGGAATGCCAATAATGTTGCTCATTAACAGTCCGGGCTTGTTGAAAACCAACAATGATCGCCACACCCTCATTTCAGCACTATTCTTCCTCTGGGGAGTGGTGCCTTTGATTGTGTGTGTATGTGCCCGCTCTTTAGCAAATCTGTACTGCTAACGAGTATCCTCCCTACAAATGTTTCCTCTGAATGTCCGGAATATAAATCACAATTAATCTGGATATTGCAGCAAACTATTTCCTCTTACGCAAGGATACAGTTATTGATGTCACAAACAGGAAAGGATGAAGTAAAAGCCAGTGGAGGGTTGAAGGTATGAGTCAAAGGACAAAGGGCAGAACAGGAAAGAGGAATAAGACGCAGTGGACAGTGGAAAGGTCAGACTCCTTAGCAGACCCTAATTGGATTAATGTCATTATTAACATGCTGCATTGTACGAGGCATTCCTGAGCTGCATGGAAAAGCATGCGTGATTGCAATATATATATGTCCGCATGGATTTGTGTTCTAGTGCTTCAGAACATTTCCCCTCCCCCAAAGCCTTCTTTTCAGCCTTTTAACCAACCATTTTCTCTCAGAGATCTTATCAACTCCAGCTTGCAGAGAAGGTGCAGGAACGTAAACTCTGGTCATGGCAGGGTAACAGAAATAAAGGGAGACATAGAAAATCTCATGGGAGATGATGAAGGTTCAGTCTATTAAATTCTGCAAAGCAAATCGTCCATTACAAAAAACATTTTACACAATCAAAGCACTCTCTTTTGTTTAGGTAGAAGTTTTTTTTTTTTTTAAATTGGGTTCAAATGATTTTTTTTCCAAAACAGTAACTAGAAATCTAATTTTGAGTGCAGTCGAAAAACCAGGTCAGAGAGAAAGAAAAAAAGAGCAGGAGAGACAGAGAGGTACAGCCCAAGAGACAGACGCAAATCTCACATGGTGCCCCATCCATAATGAACAGAGCCCAGCCGCAGCAAACGATCCCTCACAGGAGAGACTGAGGGAGACCGGGATGAGACAAAGGGGAACAGCTACATTAATTACACACTCTCTCCAGGCGGGAGCTATCACCAGAGGGTAACAAGAGAGGGGACTGACGGAGAGATGGAGAGACAGAGAAAGACAGAGAAATGGAGATGATAATGCTGGCAGAGTACCCTATGTGTCTCCTGTGAGAGGTAGTGTTTGTCCTCAGCAGCAAGATGCCTGCTGGCTGCTGAGTTATGTCACAGTGTTACTAATGGGAGCTGAACGTCCAATAGTACCCACACACACACACACACACACACTGATCTGAGCGTCAGTGTGTATCATCGGTGTGTATACAGCGTGGTTGGAAACGTCTGTATATGAAAATGGGGGGATGGTGCTCCTGTGATATGAGCGTATGTGCAAGCTTGTGTACATTGTTGCATAAGTATGCACTGTCTGGGGATGTCTGTGCGCGAGTGTGTGTTGTCTGTTTGTGTGCACTTACCCCTGGTAGCGTTTTCTGCTCATGAAGAGCGCTCTGGGCTTTCAGGGCTGAATCTCTTGCACAGTACGTCAGAAACGCACATCCTGTCAGATAGAGAGAGACAGGGAGAGAGAGAAAAAGAAAAGTAGAGGTAGAAAAGGTCAGCATGCAGCTCTAATATTTGTCATTCTCTATCTCTGTCTCTGTATCATCCTATACAAAAACACACAGTCACACACCATTTAAATCATTTAAAAGTCCTCTTTTCTAATACCCCTCTTTGCCTGTTTGCTCCTTAACTATTCTGAATTATCACTGGGGGGAAAACTGTGCGAGAGCTTAAAAATATAAATATAATCATGCACTGGAACTACACTTGACAAGATCATGATGATGCACTCTAGAGCAGAGAAGGACACTCCACGGCACGGCACATTTCAGAACGTCACGGCACGAGTCAGCACACATGACAGCACCACAGAAGTGTGCGCGGGGCTAACAAGGCCTTACAGGCTGGGCACAGTCAGGTTCCTGCGCTATTCCAACCACTATGCATGCCTCACGATCACTCCAAATACACTCCCTCTGTTTCTCCTATGTGCTGTACCTGTGTCTGTGTGTGTGAGGGAGGGGTAGGTAGCAGAGCTGGCTGGCCAGAGCTGTTTACTACACCTGTCACCAGCACTAAGACAACAAGATTAGCAGCAGGTTAGCATCCAGACACACTAATGTAGATCCAGAGTAAAGAAGAGCAGATTTGACGATTAGGAGGGAAACATTCACACAGAGTGTACAACAGGAGAACTGAGAATGACTCGACATACAGTAAAGTCTGCAACACACACACACACACACACATCTTATGGTCCATCTCATTGCTTTTAAGAGGGGCTTATACTGTGGCCGTGGGGATTCTCAAAACAACAGACTCTTTCCCCTGTGTCACCCAGGCTTACAGGCCCATTACACTGATTGGAGCATACAGCCTAATCGTGTTCATAACACACAGAACCTCAGGTCAGTGTGGGAGTGTGTGTGAGGGAGAGAGTGTGTGCGAGTGTGTGTTTTTTACAGTTTTATTACCGATCTATTGTTAGAGGGGGGCCATTATTTAAAGCCACGTAATCATTAACACCATTAGGAGGCGCTCAACTCTGTCGTCTTTACCATATATTACAAAGGGATTCATCACAGCTTTATATAGTATCCCTCTCGATAAATTTGTCTCTTGATGTTTGGTTCACAGTGTGCATTTGTGTGCCTGTCTTCATGATCTTATGTTGCAGCGTTAACAGGAGAAGGAGACGAGAATAGGTGTGACAGTTTCCATGGTGACATGTTACACACAGCGCAGGAATATCCACCCATCTATCTGTCTTACTGTCATATGTCTTCCTATCTATTATCTAGCTATCTGTCTTTTCTGTCCAAGTAAATCCTGTGTTATAATGGCGAGACCTACCTTTGTGCATGCCAGTGTATTTGTCTTTAATCACAGTTAGCTCATAGATTTTGCCAAACTGCTCAAAGATAGGCTTCAGGTCCTTCTCTTCCAGATTCCGGGGAATCTGCCCCACAAATAGCTTGATGGCGTCAGCCTCCTTCATCAGGACAGTGTGGAGCGGACGACTGGGTACTCGGGGGCCGAGGGGCAGACAGATCAGGAGCAGGTAGCCCTGGAGAGGAGCAACGATGCTGGATGAGTGGTGACAGCCAGAAAGTGGGCATTATAATGATGATGAAAACAATAGCCCTAGAAATATCACTTATTAGCAGTTTGGTTTCAAATACAGCAACTAGTTTTTAAATACTAATGTGACACTTAGCAATACTTGCTCCTACGATATTACAATATTATCCTTAGTTTCCCCCTGGGGCCATTATTTTTGATTTGATATGAATTGTATTTATTGTAGTATAATTGTAGAGGCAATGTTACATGAAACATGTAAAAATGAAAATATAATATTAGCTATTATTTTTTTTGCAAAATGCATAATTTTCATATAATTCAAGTTTCAAAGTGAGCCCCCCAAATGTTTAAAAATATAAAGATCATGATTATGGGATTTTATTTCCAAGCCTGATGACAAAGGGCTCAAGCAGGTTCTGCTAAAACAATTACGCAAATGTTAATTAGCCAATCATAAAACAATGATGGGACTTTTATTTCCCTCTTATCAATTATGTATATATATTCATCGAAAATATATGCAAGCATGTATTACCTTTTGGTGGTTAAACAGCGCTCAGGATCCCTATGCACAGAAAAAAGAAGAAACGGAGTGATTGGGGGTAAATCATTGCAAAAGAGCGGTTTCTTTGTTTAGCCAGCTGTAGGTTACAGCATACACACGGATGTCATGGGGCTCCCTTGCTCTTTGTCCGATCCCCCCTCAATGTACACATACACATATACATGCACACGGGCACACACCAGAACAAAACAACACAATCAAACGTACAGGCTTCTTATATCAAAGTTCTTACCGTTTGCAGAGGACGCTTATAGGCACAGTGTTGCCTTGTGTGGATTAGAAATTAAAGAAGGGGTGCTCGCTTTTGGGTCCCCGTTGTTGTCCCGTCCTCCTTCCCCCCCTCTCTGGATGCTCTCCGCTCTTTGTGCCTGCCGTGCTCTCCTCCTCCTCCGCCTCCTTTTCGGAGCACAGACTCTACAGGCTCGGATGGGTTGTCAAATATATCCCCCCCGTGTTACTGCTCTGGAGGTCCAGAGGTTGCGGTCCTGTAGCAGGTGTCACAGCTTGTCACCGGGTCCCGCCGAAATTCAACCAACCTCTGGACTCTCAGAAAGCGAGTGGACAGAGATAGCCTGGTAGTTTTCACTTACTCTTAATTCCTCTTTGATTACAAAGTGATAACTGGCTAACCCGCCGCTTTAAACTGTTTTAAACTCGTTTCCCTTTCCTCAGCCTATTTCAGCCTTGCGTATTGTTGCAACAGATACCGGTGGGTGCTCTTTCTGACTATTTCTCACCTACTTCCCAAATTTCTTCTGACGTCTCACTCGTCCGACGGCTAGATGGCTTTTCACGTCGTATACCGGTATCTCTTCTACTCTTTCTCTCCCTCCCCCTCATCTCACCAGAGTGGTTGCTATCTTGTGACGTAACTCCCAGGGACCGTCAATATCTGTGTTCGTTTTACGCATACAAAAAAGTCAAGTAAACAATTATTTACGTGCTCACTCGACTTTACAGCGCTCTCATTCAAGCTCAGTGATGAATAGCCCATATTTGTTAGATTTTAATATTAATGGTGTCTTTATCCTTCCCCGGAGTGACATTTTGCAGGTGAAACTTTGTAGACGTTCCCTAGGCGACACTGCGCGGAGCCGCCTATTGTTCTAGCCGCGAGCCCTGGCCTTGGTGCTGAAACGAGGCCTCCTGACGTGAAGCCGAAGCGCGCGCGGCCGATGACGTGCACGCAGTCACGACTACTACAGCTGTTCACGCCCGAGCCCGAAATCACGCTCACACCCACACAGAGTAAAATGTGTGACAGAGTCAGAAGGAGAGATAGCTTGGGGTTGGAGTTGGCCTACTTTACAGCCTGTACTTTGGAAAGCCAGCCGACATTGGGCTATTTCACTGGAATACATAAAGACAGGCAGCCTCCAGTATTTATACTAAACAAACCAACACCATTTTTGTATCTAGATATGTTGTGTGCATGTGCGTGCCAAGAGAGGGGTTGAGTGGAAAGAGAGAGTCACAGGGTTCATGGTAATTTACCCCGTAAGGTCACCATCTGCCTGCTTTGCCTTGTGCCCCCTGTGAACCTGCATCACTCGCTACGTTCATTTCCCATATATATATATACACACACCCCACCCACACAACACGCACATACATGCGCACGTGCGTGTGTATCACTACAATGAGAAGGCACGCTAACTCAAAGAGTGAGAACTGTGTGCAAGAAGGCAGAGGGCATCACGCCACCGGAACTGTTAAGCCTCCCTGCACGATATGGAAGACACGGCAACGATGCGTGCGAGACCAAAAAGCAAGGATGCCGAGGAGGGGAAAACTTTCACTATATGCTATTTGGCTTTCTTTGTAACCATGGCAGACTAATCCCTTATTCCCTTCACCTTTAGGCTAATGTAAACGTTTGCAAACAAATAAAATATATAGCATTTTATAAAACGTATTTTTATGTTGTTTCAATATCAATGTTCTAGTCGTGTGCATGAAAAGTATTCCCTAATGTTGCAACTAATCCCAGATTGCAATAGCCGAATTATCAACTAACACCAAGAAATTCTGGCTGGGCCTTAAACTATAGGCTGACACTTGTGTTGTTTGGGTCTGCTGTTATTTGAGTGTTGTAAGAATCTGGAGGGAGTAAACTTCCTCGCCTATAGGTTTTGAAGCAGCATTTTATTGTTTGAAATTATTTGTATCATAAACTTGATTTAGGAACACACCTTAAACTCAAACCTAATGTGAAAAAATGTATCTTAAATGTCTTGCTTTGTCTTGCATTTTAAATCTGGAGTGCATTTACATATGATATCTGATCTTTTGGCCGGATCACAATGAAATTAATTAAAAATGTTGGCTCTCTCAAGAAACTTCTTGAGCAAATAGAAATAGAAATATCAATGGTTTTATAACACAAGTATAATGAATGAAAAAATGAAAGGCAAAATAAAAATAAAGTACAAACATTTTGTCTATATATTGTCATAAACCAATACATTACCCAATCAAAACATCTTTGCTAGTACAAGTCATGCTTGCAATCCAAACCTCATTTAATATTTAGAAAAAAACAAAACAAGCAAACAACTAGTCACAATGCAATGGCCCCAAAGAGAGACATTTACCCCACAGACATCTCATTTCCTGAGGACAACTGCTCAATCACTGTGAGACTCAACATCGCCATCATTTGGAGGAAACAGGAAATATCATCCCTAACCCCCAGACAAAATAAAAACATCACACTTCATTCCTGTTTCAGTTTTATTTAAAACGAAGCTTTTGAGATAATAATTTTTCCACACTTTTTTTTTTTTTGCATGATAAAAAAATCATCTGTGTATCCGTAATAACAATCTCATAAACTCTGGTGGTAACAAAGATAATTTGCTACAGCTCCTTAAAACAGAAAATAAATTACATGTTCTTCAGATAATATATAAATTACTATCCTTTTTGTTTTTGTATAAAACACTTTTTTTTACTACAAGGGATAAGAGACAAGAATGAAACACGTGCTGCAGCTACAACACAGAACCACACACACACACGCACGCATGCACACACACACACACACACACACACACACACACACACACACACACACACACACAAACTAACGATAACAGACGACTCATAAATGCACACATTCAAAACTCAGAACAATATAGTCACTGCTTCTTGTCAAATGCACAGAAACAATAGTAATATAACAGTTTGATGTGAATAAATGCAGTCTACAACAACACTTCTAATTACTCAGTTATAAAACATAAGCGCCTTCTATGTTCAAAGAAATATAGACATTAAAACATATCTGACAAATATACAGACCCCTCCCCTTTGTGAAGGCAGGGTTTATTGTGTGTTTATTCCTTTTTAGGAGATAGATAAGGAGAAGAAAAGAATAGTAAAAACAAGTTGTAAGAGAAAAAAGAGAGAAAGATAAGGCATAAAGAGTACTTACACACATATACAGAGGTTTCTGTCTCACTATGTGACATATTTACTTTCAGATCAAAGCAACATGATTGCATTTGATCCGTTAAATCAGCTGCTCTATTAAAACACTCTTTTAAGAAGCAGCTTCTTTTGTGGTTTCCATGAGTTTTTCAAATTCTGGCTTCACCTACTCTCATAGGACAGATTCATCACCCTCTCTCCAAAAGGAGATGATGGAATCACATTAAATATGTATTGAGATGAGGTGAGAAAAAAGGGAGGACATGAAGTTGTTCCTCAGATATGAAAACGCAGTTGTAATGGGGATGGGATCACTCAAATGCAAAAAAAAATTAGGTCAGCCAGGAGTGAATCACTTTTCAAAACCTGTGCGTTGCCAAGTTCATAATTGAGGAGATATGTTCAACTTTTTTTTATAATTGTTTAGAAATCAAATGAAAATACACAAACCAGTGAGAGGCTCATATAAAGATAATAAAAACACTGTTGCAATGGGTGTTGTTCTCATTCATTGCGATTTAAATGGGCAATAGTTAAGTTGTTCTCGATCCCACAGTCCTGGTGTCTTTAATGTTCACTATTGTGAGAAAATCCACAGCTGAAAATAGTTCCTAACACAAGTAGAATGTTTCTCTTATTTGAGTAACAGTTTCTCAAAACTAAAGTCCCAGCCACTTTTAAAAATACTGAACATTTTAACATATTTCAAAGTATTTACTTGTGTGACATTGTAAGAGATTTACAATGCAGGGACCAAATGAGGCTTGGGAACGCATGCCTGGGAAGTCAAAAATAATTTTTACAAGTAGAAAAGTAAAGAATATCATGTGTTATCTCTTTGTGTTTTATCATATCATGTCAGTCATTTAATTTAGAAAAATAAACAGCTGCAGCTATTAGCTTCTCTCTGCAAGGCCTACATATGTTTTACTGACACACACATGTTGAAGAAGCATACAGAGTGTGTGTCGCTTGTTTTGTCTGGTTCTATTTCTGTGTGGGAAGAATCTCACCTCTTCCTGTTCTGAAATATTTTTGGTCACTTACTGCCATGTACGGCTCACACCTTTGGTTCATCTGTTCCAGTACTGAAGTGAACAACAAGAGGACACTACACAACTTTTTTGTTTTTGTTGCCAACAAAAAAAACAAAAACGATTTGTAAATGAAATCCTTCTAGATTTGTGGGGTAGACAACTGTAGATTGACAGTGTCCATGAAACAGTAGATCTATCCCGGTAGATCTTTAGCACACGTTATTACACAGCTTATCTAGTGCACATGCTAATTATTTGATCAGCACATTTTTTAATAATAGTAAGTGGTATGCACGTCCGATTCTAGCAGTTTTAAGTCCTTGAAGATAAGAGAGGATATAAAAAAATATTTTTTTTTGCTGCTGAAACACAGCTGTGTCTTCAGGGAGCTCTTCCTATGACAATCTCTCAACCAAGAAAGTTGTGTGAAATGACAGTGAATGCATCACTCAGCCCTGGGTGACGCATGTAAAGCTACCGCATGGAGTAAAAAGAGGCAAGTTCAGAGGAATATGCGGTTCTAAGAGACACTATAAACAGCGTTATGGAAAAAAGAAACCGGTTGCTTTCACATTGTTTTCCCTGAAGAATCGGGAGAAAATAGCTAAGTGTTAACTGTCGCAGGGATTAGGTCTATTCTGGGCTGTCCATTTCTTTACGATCTGATGAGCCCTTTTGTAATAATCCTTGCCTCTCTCACACCTGGGCGGTGATTGGTGGGTCAGTGCCTCTTTGCACGCTGAGCACTCTGGGTACAGGAAGCACAGCAGGCAGACTTGTAGTAGGAGTAGACACACAGCCTGGCCTGAACCACCATCACACAGTTATGACGTATGTCTTTGCAGTTTTCATCTGTGAACAGAGAAAGAGGAGACAAAGTTTGGCAGGGAGAAAAAATAATACACACATGGATGATTACACACGCTCATGGTTCTTACACACTTACCTGATACTTGTGGACTGCAGGGTATCGTGTTACAGATCTGCTCCTGATCAGGTTTGGTGCTGGCATCACATTCATGATTGTGCTTTTTGTCCTGCGTCAGACACCGTACCTCCCTCATTTGTAAGCCTTTTCCACAAGAACGCGAGCACTGAGAACAAAGGCAGAGTTTGTTATGTTACATTTTTCAATAAAAGTTCTCCTGACCCACTATTTTTTTTTTTTCTGTCACATTGTTTCTTACAGCGCTCCACTCCGTTGTGAACCACTGCGGCTGACACTCTCCCATCTCACACTGTTGAACAGCTGCAGGTTTGTCCAGATTAGCGCACTCACTGGCTGGTACGATGGCCAAATCATTCCCCGTTTTCTGGACACATATGATGTCTCGTCTCTGAGTTCCATTCCCACAGGGGACATTACACTGAAAGAAGAACAAAAGTTGGAGCTTTGTTTTTTTTTTTTATAAACTACTTATTCTAACACTGCATTATGAATGTCTTTTTATTCCAAAGAAACCTACAAACTTTTGTATATAAAATACTAAATCTCCTTTTTCTCCATTGTCTCTGGGTTTCCTCATATGTTTCTCATACCTGTGTCCAGGGGCTGCTGTACCACATGGTCGTAGGCACACAGGGTCCTCCATTACAGGCCTTCATCTCAGCTGGTTTCTCCGCAACACAGTCCCCTCCTCCTTCACCCTCTCTCACCCCTCCTCTGGTCAGACACACCACCTCCCTCTTTTGCACCCCGGGGCCACACTGCGCTGAACACTGAGGGACAAAGTGGAAGATCATGTTGAGGTTTGCTCTTAAGTGCTGGTGTTCATGTTTTTCTTTTTTTCTTACTTCAGCTCTTGCGTACTTGTGTTACTCACCGTGTTGGACCAGCCAGTGAAGTACCAGTTTGTTACACACGGTCCCATGTTGCACTCCTCGCTCCCCTGTGGGCGAGCTCTGGAGTTGCAGTCCTTGTCATGCACCACAGCACCTTGATCGCTGACGCAACGCACGCCTCTCGTCCTGCTCCCAACTCCACAGTCGACAGAGCACTGAGACACACGGAGAGGAGGACGACAGAAAGGGCCTTAAATGAGACGTCTAACTTAACAAACGCTAACTTCAGCTTCATTTGAATCTACAGTTTAGAGTCATTCAAACACTACATGACAAAACAAATCTATGCACAAATAATTTAAAAAAGGGATAGATGAAAAGATGTAAGTGACAGATATCACTGGTGAAAACATTTTGGCAAATTGAGTAATGAACGAATAAAATGTGGGATTATTTGTCATTCAAAACTAAAACCAGGTGCTTGTTGGTTGAAATTGTGTGATTTCTAATTATATATTCCTATTTTTTTCAAAATTGTACTTCTCCAAAATATGAGATCAGTTCAGGTTACAGAAGGACAAATTATTTCATCAGAATCTTGGTTAAATATCTAACTTTGATCATTGCATGTCATTAGAGATATTAAAATGTTTCTTTGAATAAATGTGTTAGATCTGTGTCTTTGAGGCCCAATCCCTTAGTATATATTTTTTTGATCATCCAGGGGGCGGCAGTAGCTCAGTCTGTAGGGACTTCGGTTGGGAGCTGGAAGGTTGCCGGTTCAAGTGCAGCACAAATCTGGAAATCTGGTAGCTGGAGAGGTGCCAGTTCACTTCCTGAGCACTGCCGAAGTGCCCTTAAGCAAGGCATCGTCTTTCTCTTAATCACTCTCTCACTGTGTTTCCTAGCCTCGGTAGTGCACAGAGTGCACTGGTTGTACGGTACACACCTGTTACTACTTCTTAAACGTTTTTTTTTAGATGTATATTGATCAGCTGTCAGTGTTTTGGGATTCTGAATCAAACATAACCAGATGAGAGGAAGAGGCAGTTTGCAGTGACAATGGAACTCCATTCCCCAAGCCCTTCTATTTACTAAAATCAACTCGAACCCACTGTCTCTCTCTCTATTTTGCTTGCAAATTTTGTGCGCCATCATTTGGCCTCTTTTCACCCTTCAGGTGATACATACCACCCGTCACACACTGTTGCATCCAACCTACCGTGCTCCAGTCAGAGCTGACCTCCCAGTGGGAGCAGAGGGCGAGCTGACAGGCCTGTGTGGACTCTGGTGGGGTGAGGTTGGCACAGCGCTGCGGATGGACCATGGTGGAGCGATTTCCAAAGCTCTGCCTGCACTGGAGCTGCCGCTGCTGCACCCCGGGGCCACAGGACACACTGCACTCGGACCACGCACTAGCCTCCCAGCTGAAATATACAGAGAGGGAGACATGGAGGGACATGTTGCTGTTTTTCACATGCTTTCATATTAGATTAGTTAATTCATGTTGGCTAACCACAAATCATGTTTGAGGCCCCCACAGTTACTTTCAAAATTACCCATAAATTATGTTTTTTCAATTTCAATAACACATTTGGTCCCTGCATATGTGCTGAATCCTTTAATCGAGTCATTACAGTATACACCTCTATAGTCTGTATCAGTTAGCTCTAACTTGAGAAAGAGGACACAGCAAGAAGTCTTCATCTCATCACATATGTGTCTGTCGTTAACTTGAAATCATGGGCAGAGATATGTCAACACCAGTGACCGGATGATAACAGTTACAGTAAAAAGCTACCAAGTTAAAGAAGTTCCCATGAAAAAGGTTTGTAAAGGCTGGATGTCTGCACTCAAAAAATAAATGAATAGAAAACTTGCATTTCCTGAGAAGATTCACGAGAATGCTGACAACTGAAATGCATTGAAACACTGCTTATATTTTTTCAGAACATTTCTGAAAAGATTGTGATTTGCCTTTTAACAAATAATAATAATAATAATAATAATATTTATTTACACACTCAGTTTTCTTATCTAATAAAATAGAAACAGATGACCTGATAATGGCAGTGCAGGGTGGTTTTCTAGCAGTGATAAATGAGCTATGAAAAATACACTTTCTTCCAACCTTCCACTTCCTGCAGGTCTTAAATAGTTGAGCTTAATATAAATCTTGAATATGTCCATATGATGTATAACTGTGTGTTTCCTCACAATGGTGGGCAGGGGTGTGTGTTACACGGCTCTTCCTCAGGGACAGGTTTAGCTGCAGAGTCACATTTTCTCTCTGGGACTTCCTCGTCTGTGTGGCGATCTATACACAGAATGACTCTGTGCTGGTGGCCTACAGAGATGGAGAGAGAGGAACAGATACACAGAGAGCATTAGCTCCGTGTTCTTGTAGTTGCACAAACCTACCAGAGGAGGGAGGCTTCAACACATCCAATGTGACCAAGGGGAAATCTATCTGAAAATGACATACATACAGTATATGAAGCTCTACAAGGCTTATTTGATTCTGACCTTTGCCACAAGAAGCTGAACACTCTGTGAGCCCGCCTCTCCTCCACACAAAAGGTGGCTGAGTGTCCAGTGGCAGGTCAGTGCGAGGGGGGATCCGAGCATTCCTGTTGGGCGCAGAGCCTCGAGGACGTGACCTCTCGGGTCCCCAACGGTCAGGGGAGTGAGAGGGGTACGAAGGGAACGAAACAGGAGGAGGAGGAGCAGGAGGAGGTCCTTCTACTGACACAGTGAGGGGACCTGTGTTAGAAGTACACAAAATTTGACATTAAGACAAATTAGAAAGGGAAGTTTGGGAAACAGGCACTAGGAGGAGGAGAAAAGAGTGATCAAGAGGGAGGAAAGGGGCTAATGTTGAAAAATCAAAGATTGGAGGAAGACAGTGAGTCAGAGGCTAATGATGTCATGATGAGGTCATGGTCTCATGACAGCGAACATGTGGACCAGATAGCCTCCCATCTAGGTCATACACAAATACACAAACACATTAATCCCTCCCACTTGGCCCACAACCGCACCCATCCCGATCCATAAACACGTCAATCATTCTCCAAGGATGTGGGCTGCAGTGGTGTTTCCTTGACTAATTTGGAAAGAATGAATTTCAAGATCTTTGGCTTGATTTACAGTTCAATTCTGACACTGACAAGAATCAACTACTAGTTTGTGTTCAACATGACTGCTGAGGACTATAAGTGTCTCTATGCTACCATAAAGAACATACAAAGAACACAACGGTGAAACAGAAGAAAGATAATCAGAAAGATTAAGTGTGTTTGACGCACTGCGAAGAGGTGCCCTCCCTGGATCTCGCTCCCTCAGCCTCTCTCTGGGTGCTGCCTCTCTGGGCGTCTCCCTCTCTCTCAACATCAGCCTCTCCCTCTCTCCCTCTTTCTTCTCCACGGGGATGTAAAACTCATAGTCGATGCCTGGGTTCTCCTTGTGGAATATAATCTGAAGAGGGCGAGAGAACAGACAGATATAGAGATGGAAGGAGCCAATGACAGGAACACTCTTAAAAACAGCTTCAGCAACATCTACTGTTCATAACAGGGACATAAGAGGACATGGTGAGCTACAGGGATTGCTCAAGGAAACCTCAGCAGGTTGTTTGTCTGCCACTATGAGTCCTCCTTCTTAATATAAAAGCCTACAACCCTTCTTACAGGACTTTACAAAGTCAGGGTCCTCTAAACTCAATTAGCCGGAGTCATGTGGCAACAACTTTATGATCTATTTTTGACAAAAGATGGATAACTGTAGTTCAGTCAGTCGCACAATCTGGTGACTCTTTGAACACTTCAATCCAAATTAAGAGACCATAGGCTAGGATGACCTGATATGATATGCTCCCAATAATATGATCATTCATCATAGTTTAGGAAGAAAACTATACACATAACCCTTAAAAACATGTGTTATATCAGCAACTTAGGTTTTTATACACATTTTAAAAATATAGCGTTTTTTTTTGTTTTTTTTGCAAACATGCATCCATACATTTTATTTACATTATTTTCCCAAGATAACAAGTCATTTACAGTTGTTTTCTAGAGTTTTCACAACTTATGGTGTTGCCTTGGTTCTTATGTTCTTGTGTTTTTTGGGTCCTCTTATGTTAGGGCTTCTTGTGTTTTTGAGTTCTAGAGCTGTATGACACAACACTTTGTACAACCTTGCATTTAAAGGTGCTATAAAAGTAAAGTTATTATCTGTCTTGTTATCTCGGGATAACAAAGCTGTTCTTTTTTTTCCATAACGTGATCATTTTCTTACCTTCTAGAAAACCAAACATTAGGCTTGTCACTGCGAGAGGCCATGCTTCCATTCCCCACACTCATGAGGTAAGTTAAGCCTATTTCTACATTTCTTTTGTGCTTTTACATCTCTAGGGATACAAGATAAATAAGTTCAGATCTCAAGAAATTAACCAGATTGTAATTGTTATCACAAGAAAAAGCAGTAAATCAAATATATAGATGCATGTCCACTTAGGGCTTCTGTACTTCCTCCCTGTTTACAGTCTTTAAGTACTTTACAACCTTATGTAAGTTATTAACTACTGTGTAATGCTCCTTTACTTTACTCCTAGATGTGTTTTTGGTGGCGCCATCCAAAGGCCAGGCTTTATAATGTTTATCAAACAGTGGCAAATATCTACAGAAAGCAGATCTTTCTTTCTGTTTTTCATTCATCAACAGTTTATTCAAAGCGTGTAATGAGCATTACACCGTAACAGAACTACTTGGGAGGTTATAGACTTTTAGTCTTTTTATTTCTTATTTCAAAATCCCATGAAGCCTAAAAAATGCAGGTGATTTTGGAGGACATATATCAAACTCTTTGGTCGAGGATTACTATTTTTACCCCCTCCTGCTCTGTAGCTGATAGATGCAAAGCTGCAGATGACTCCCGTTCTTTAATAAGATCTTAGCCTGAGGTCAGAGTTGTTATTATTGAGCCCTGTATACTCTGATGTGGCTCAGACTAAGCTTTGGTATATCTGTCTCTATCCTGCCATAATGCTAAAATAGTGCGGCCTATCTGGAGGATCTTGACACAGAGCAGGCAAGCGTAGCCTCAGGCTTAGAATAATGTTATAGAGATGTGAAACATTCTGTGTATACACATGTGTGTCCATGATCATGTGTGTGATTCTTATCATTAATTAAATTTTGCCATTCCTCAGTGCATGTTTGCTTACAGGGTTAAATTAAAAGCCTGCCTGTGGTCTGGTTCTTACATAGAGCTGGAGCTGGGTGGTGGTCGGTCCTCGCGCCCTGAGGGTCTCCCCTTTCTCCTCCTCCCCCTCCGTGTGTACTCTAGGTCGGGTGTAGGTGAAGGTTGTCCCTCCCGCCTTGTACTCCCCTGGTGGGTCCACCGCCCAACGCCCGTTTACAACCGACACCCCGGTGCCACTCCTCATTGCTGGAAAAATATAGAGTGGGGGGGGGTGGGGTGGTAGAGTGGAGAAAGGTTTGGTTCAAGTTTTCTTCTCTTGTTTTGGCCTTGTTTAGTCTACAAAGTGGCAAATTCTTAGGAAAACCCCATGAGCTCCAATACACTTTTAGAAAGACAAACACAGACTTTGGAGTGCTGTCTCCTTACCAAACAGTGGGGTAGCTAGACAAACACTCACAAGTACATGCACATACTTCACTGGTTCCTTATGGGCTGTTACAATACTGGATTTATCTGCTTAAAGCCAAGGAGGCCACAACTTTTATAGTCCTGGTCCTAGCCAGTACACACAAGCTCTGGGGCCAAATCTCATTCCAAGATCTTTAATTCCTTTTGGAAACATTTTTTCAACAAATCTGTAATTGCTTATCTTTGTGCAAATGATTGTGTTTGTGTCTACAAGATCTTACCAAGGTAATTTGGGCTTGCTCGTCTCTCCATGATGTTAATGAATGTAGCTCCAGGCGGGATGTCCAGGATCTTGTGGTAACCAAGGGGAACAGTGACATTTTGGAAGCTTCCAGTCACCTTTCGGCAGGAGGTTTCCCTCCCGTCACATACCCCGCACTTGTCAATCACTGAGCCAGAGCCAAGAACCCCGTCGCAGCCCTCAGTCTGGCAGGAGGAAAAGGTGAAAAGACGTGAGTGATGGGTGAGACAATCAGGGGGAAGGAATTGGGGTTTGGAAGAGAGATGTGGCAGGAAGAGAGAAAAGCTGTTTAAAACTCGTTGACATTTCTAGCCATTGGCCGTGTTTATTTCACCATTGTTATTGTAAATTGGTAACCGTTTCTGGCCACATTCCTAGCAGAAAACAGAAAGGTTTCAAAAGTGAATCAAAAAGAGCAAATGAGAGAAAAAAAAAGGGGGAGACGTAAAAGAAGAGACAAAAAGCAATGCAATAAAAAGGATTGGATACAATTGGAATCTGAATGCCACGCTTAAATAAGCCAGCAGAAAGGAGACTCAGAGTGCCAGGTTCTGTTCTTTCTCAACCTTGGCTAGACAGGAGGGTCTCAAATCTCACACACACACACACACAACAATTCACATTTGAAATACACTTACCAGACACCGTCCTTCTACACACACATCGTTTGTGCTGACGTTGAAGCAAGGAGTCCCATCCCTGACGCGTTCAGCCTGGCGAACGTAGAAACGGTAACCAGCAGGTCTGCAGGTCAGCTCGCACTGCTTGTCGGCACCAACTGCAACACACACACACACACACACACACACACACACACACACACACACACACACACACACACACACACACACACACACACACACACACACACACACACACACACACACACACACACAGACACACAAAGTTTAGGTGGATTAGAGCAGATCTTATATGTTACTTAAATGTGTGGGGCTGTGTAAGATTTCTTGTAGTTTCTTTTTGTATCAGCCAGCTGTGGAGGAGATTCTAACCCCCCCCCAGACTGTCAGGCAGCGTAAATGTAATTCACTATTTCCTCTGCTCAAATGTACAAGTGCACTCTCCACTGCATGTTCCCAGGAGAAACATACCCAGAAGAGCGGTGAAAACACAAGTCTGAGGAAGGTTTGATTTATGTCAGAGAACAAACAGACGGCCACAGTAGGGAGACTTGCAGTTGGAGAGAGTGAAGAGAAAAGTAGTCTCAGAGAAAGAAACGATAGCTTCAAGGTAAAAGAAGAAACTGAAGTCCTTCAGTACCTGGAGAATATGGAGGCAAACAGTCGCTCTGAGAATACAAGAATGTCTGAGGGGGTGAAATGCGAGAGTCCTGAAATACAATTAAAGGAAGAGTTGCTTACCCACTTTATTTCTCCAAGAGGGTATCAACCTATTTTATGTAATGGTTCATATTTTATCATCTAATCATTTAAACCAACTATGATTCATTTAACATCTTGAAAATCCAAGGTTTTAACAATAAAAATACTGTGTTGATTTGTGTGTCTCATATGTTGGTGGGTGCATTTTTGAACTTTGTATGGAGCCTGGCGACCTGTTTCCCTGTTTCCAGAATGTATACTAAGCCAGGGTAACCATTTCTACTTATTTTAAGCAAACTGTGGGTCTGTTAAGTGATTGACTTTTGCATAATAAGTGTAGACAGTGGAGAATGCGTTGTCAGTATTCCTAGATATTACAAGGACCTGCACAGTGCATTGGTTAGCACAGGGCCTCTCTTCCCACAGTCCAAAGACATGCTCATTAGGTCCACTGATGTGAATGTGAGTGTGGCTGGATGTCTCTATATGTCAGCCCTGTGATTGACTGGCGAACAGTCCAGGGTGTACAGCTGGGATCACCACCAGCCCCCCGCGACAAAGCAGTATAGATAATTGATGGATAGATATTACAATTTGAGTGTCGGCACCAAGGGTAGAGTGGTCAATTTCAGGAAAATCACAAGCAGCGATCGTAACCAAACATTTATTAGTCAGAAAAAAGATAGAGGTGGAAAAGTGAACTGTTTTCTCAGGTGTCTGCTGAGCTATTCGGTTACTATGTATACTATACTAACTGCTTTCAGAGATCTGGCTGGAGTCAGCAATTAGTTGAGCCTAGTCGCATTTTGGTATCGTCTAAAAGGTAACTAGAACCATGTATTCCTGATTTGCTTTTAATGACCATTGTTATTAATGTTACACGAGCACATTGCTTGATTTTTGGTAGTGAGATCATATTCTGCCTCAAAAGAAGGCCCATAATATGTTTGACTAATCCTTTAAAGAAGAGAAGAAAGGCAGTGAGAGAAGAAAGGACAGCGGGCAGGTCAACTGTTTGACATCCTCTTTAAGGTTAGAGACTGATGTTGTGCTTTGGGGTTAAAGGGCTGGGGGGGGAAGATGTTGTGTGTGTGTGTGTGTGTGTGTGTGTGTTCGTGTGTGTGTGTGTGTGTGTGTGTGTGTGTGCTTATGTGAAATAGAGTTTAAACCTGAGGTCTTAGTATGGTATGGCAAACGGGAGGGAGGAATTTCTGTAAGTGGAGTTAAGGGGTTAAAAGGACAAATTCTGTGCTTCAGGATTTATGACTTCTCACTGTGGTTTCATATTTCTTTGCCTTAAACATGAGAAATGTACCCAATACTTTATTCCATTTAAACAGGCACACTATAAAACTCTGCCCAAAAAGTGGTCACAAACTATTGTACACCTTATTATTCAGGTCTTTGGGGCAGTTTGAGTAGCAGAGTGGAGAAGTAGATGTTTGGCTGGTTCTTCGTTTGGGAAATGTCAATGTCAAGTGTAATTCCGATGCCACTGACACTTGACTATCTTTTGATAATTTGAAAACGATTTTTTCTCAAAGAGTAAGTGTGTGGTAAGTATCCCAAAGCCCCAACCATCTTCTGAGTCAAGAGGTGCACAGGACATAAAACAGAACGTAAACTGAAGGTCGCAGGATTCTTGGTTTAACCTTAAAGGAACAACAGAAAAGGCAAAAATTTGACCTCAGCCCTTTGCTGCATGTCATCCCGTACTCTTTCCTCCCAACATGTCCTGTCTCTCTTCAGCTGGCCTTTCCAATAAATGCAAAAACGGCCCCAAAATAACCTTAAAAAAATCCACACATTCCCTTGAACTTTATCCTTTAGTTCTACATAACTATTATGTATAAATCTACTATCCTTTAAGACCATCCAAACATGCCAAACATCTATCAATGCTTATTTTTCATCATTCTTTTGTTACTGTCTGATAATTGCATGGAAGCAGATGTACAATACATATTTAGAAAGTAACAGCAAGGGAGGCAGAGTTCCCATCCGCTCCCTCTCCACTCTTGTTCTCTCTTTCCGTCCATCATAGTTATCTTTTGGAGATTAGACCGGAGACAGTGACAGAAAAGCGAGGGGGAGCTAAAAGTGGGAGATGTGTAATGTACTCCCTGTCTCTCTCTCTCTGTGTCTCTTTATTCACCTCCTCATCTCCTTTGCTCTCTGCCTCTGCTTTTTCATGCAATGAAGTCATGCTTGAGCACTCTCCAACTCGTAATCACCTTGAAATTTCCCCCCTTATTTTTGGCTTTATCTTTCATTTGTCTCTACCTACTTCCCTGCTTCTCTGTTTCCCTTTGTTTGCCTCCATCTCTTCCACTGTCTCCCTCTCTTTATCTCTCTCTCTCTCTGAGCTTAGTGTTCAGACAGTGGAATATATGTCGTCTAAATATACTTCCCCACTATCTCTCCGTCTAAACAAACTCCAACAGGGAGAGAGAAAGAGAGAGGCAGTGGGACAGGAAGAGGGGAGGATGGGTGCGCTGAGAGGGGATGAGGCCTGAAATAAGCGAATATTGAAGTAAAACAACACCTGCACGTGCAGCGCTTACAAATCTAAAAGGGGCTGCTTGTGGGAGGAAACGTTACCACTGAAATGAATCGGGATTATAACTTTTTGTAGTTTACAGCTGTAATGGCAGCTTTACAGTTTAAGCTTCCAATTTCAAACCATAGGCCATAACACTTTGCAGTACATACATGACAGGGCCGTCACCTTAGACGCAAAAACCCAAGCTAAGTAGCAAAAGCTGACTACAGGGTCAAACATAAATACAAACTGGAAATGCATGCAGTGCCATAAAAAGTCCTAAACAGATGAGTGCAGCTGGAGATAAATGACTAATACACCATTGGATGTTTAAGTACACACACATACTCCTTGCAGCCTGCAGTGTGTTGATGGGAAACTAGATATGGAGGATTGGGCTGCAGCCAATGGGAGCAGGCTGGAGTAAACACTGCGATACAGTTTACTTAGCAGAGTGGAAAGGATCATCTCCAGTGCTGATCGAGTGTGTGTGCGACCCAGCTGACGTCATCTGAAAAGACTTCAGACAAATACAGTTTTATATCCACCCCCATTAAAGTCAACCAATAAATCTGACATCGGCCATTTGGTGGCTTCTTTTCTCCAAGATATTCTCACAATAACATGACTAGAATGTGTCTTTCTGAAGCCAGATTCGTGATTTACCTCCATATCAGAGATCGTCTGCTATTAAATATGTTTTTTTCCCCCCTTTTGACTCTCTGTCCTCTCCTCTTCTCAGCAGACATTAGACACGGTGGTTTGAAATAAGCCAGATTAGAGCAAAGGGCAAGAAGACACAGCAGATAGAGAAAATGTAAGGGCGAATAAATTCAGGATAAATACAGTAATCTCCCTCTTTCCCCTCACAAACACAGAAACAGGGGGTGGTCAGTGAAAGGAAAGCCCTCTGAGTGTTTGCGCAGACAGTTGGACTCCAGCTGATAACCGGGCGATGACTCCTGGTACAGATGTACGGCATGTGTTGTCTAGATCTGCATGCATCCACGTCTACTCTGCTGCTCTGACAAGACTGAAAAACATCAGTAAAATATTTAAGGTGTTCTACCAGCAGAGCATTGACCTTTGAACTTTTATATCAGACATGGAAATAAGTTTGGCAATCAGATGTGTTTAAGTGCTAATCCTTTTGCAGGGTCACTGGGGATGATGAGCTCGGACTGGGTGACAAAATATATGTTATAGGCCTGCAACCATTAACATTCATATCCAAATACACATGCAATAAGGTTTTTCAAACGTATGGCAAAATATGCTGTTTGTGAAAACAGTCTAGGGTCAAGGATTTTTATTTTTTAATAGAGTGGCGCATTATGACATTTTGGGAGATATTGCATAACAATTATGTGAGACATTGTAGGTTCATGTTGGCTTTTGGTTTATTTCCTAATCAGTTTTCTTAAAACCTGAAAAAAACCTTCTTGATTGACTGTGCAGAAGAATATATAATATCACAAAATATTTGGTTATAAAACAAAATGGCAAAATAATGTTGTCCATATGGTCTACTCCTACCTGCATGTGTCTGGATTTGCAGAAGGAAATCCACCCAGGAATTGTGAAAACATGCAAGACCTTCAAGTCAGATAAATCGAATCTAGGACTGCAGCACCAACGTACTGTCCTGGAGCACTTTATGGTAATTACATACTGAGGCATGACACAGAATAAAAAAATCTAAGGGTTACTATCACTTATCCCATAGTACAAAGCTGTGTTATGTGATGCCATTGAACTATGGAAATATGATACTTTAAACCAGCATTAACTGTTTAATTTAAGGGGTTTGGGGGCATTAGCTCATGTCCTGCTTTTTCTCACCAGCTACTAAATGACTCTTTCTGCTGTTTGATGCTGAGCAGGTTATGCACAGTGGGTTGATCAAAGCTTCCTTTTTAAAATTGTGAACAAATGCATCTGTATCTGATTTGCATCTGGAAACACGGCTGATGATATCAGTGACAGAACAACCAAAACATTCAGCTTAAAGGTGAGGTCAGTGGGTTTGTCAATAGTACGATTTTTCACAACACTGCTTTCATCGATAATGTAAAACATTTGATGGCATAGTTTTCTGGCCTGACGAAGTAGCATGGCATCATGGGAGTTTTGGGATTTTATTTTGAATAATAGACAATTCTGCGAAGAAAACCTATACTACCTGACTTGACTAAGAAGAAATGATGGTCATAGACAAGGTAGTGTATGCACGTCTTTTAAACTAATGATGCTTTGATTTATTCACATGTTTAAGTTCAAGAAGAATTAGCTGCAATAAACACAAAGACTTAAAATCTAGTGTTTCCCTGAAGACAGGTGAAGCAATGTTATCCTTAATGTAATTAAGTTTTTCTCTGGTTTGAAAAGTAATTGGAAGTATTTGAGAAAGTGTTAATACAATACCCAACACAGCACATAACAGAGATCTAGTTATGTATGATTTCACTGCAGAAATGTGGGAAATGACATCTCTACCTCTGAAAATTGTATCTTAATTCCATTTTCACAAATCCTATTTGTGGTAAACTCTCTACTGTTGTGTATGGAGTAAAACTAAATGAATACATGTGGTTTGTGTTGATGATCTAGTGATTCTGGCTCTACGCTAAGGAACATCAGCCAGCTGATACAGTAATCACAAGTGCACAGGCAGACACATACACAAGCCTACATGCACAAACATTTTTCCACATGTTATCTCAGATCCACTAAGCAGTTCATCTACCGCAGAAGCACACATGCCAAGAAGCCCACACTGTAAATACACAGAGGCTTCTTCATTGTATGTCTTACTGCAATGACAAACACTGTTGATATCACCTCACAGCTGTGTTTCTTTCTCTTTCCCTCCCAAAGCCCCTATGTTTCCAATATTTTCCCTATCTGCTTTCTCTTTTCTCCTGAATACCTCAAATATCTGTTTAGAGTTGTCTCTCGTTCTCTCTCTCTCCCTCCAGCATCGGAAAACAAAGATAAATAGACACAATCTCCACCGCGCTGCTGAACTATTGTACTCTTAACAAGAAAGTAAATAAACACACTCAACTACACAAGGACGCACTCAGAAATACACACACACACGCCATGTTTTCTCCCTTCACTCCCAGCCGTCGTGTGACAAAAACACTTCTCTCACCTCCCGATTCTCTGAATTTCTCTCTCTCTATCTCACTCAGTTGGAATCTATGTGCTTAGTCAGAACAGGGAGGAGAAAGCTAAGCAGAAGAGGCCAGGAGATGTTGGACAAATGAGAGGAAAAAAAGAGAGGAGGGAGAGGATTTAGAACAAAGAATAAAAGCAGATCGAGTTCCAGTCATTCCAGTCTTTTCCCCTTGACTCTCAACACCCTAAACGCTACATGACTGCTTCAATAAGAGGAGGACTGGGCATGCTGTGGAGATCTGCCAATGCACTAAAGTCAGAGCAACATTTGACTCACTTAAACACACATATTACTGATGCTTTCCCCCGACTCCCTCCTTATTCCAGCATTTAATTTACACAATAAGCCTATTATCACATTAAAGGTCTGTGCAGCATAATATGTGTGTTTACTTTACGTCCTCACCCTCAGTAAAAGCTTCCCAATTGTAGAGGCGACCCATGAACTCCTGGGTGTTAAATGCTGCACACTGCTCTGCTCTGGAGTCCAAGGCGCCTCCTCCACACACCTGGAGGACGGAAACACAGAAAATTACAGATAGAAATGTGCAAAATACAGTGCAACATATTGATCTAATATAAAATCATGCAGCTCTGAAACCGTGATGGTAGTTTCTCTCCAAGTCCCTGGAGAAATAAGGGTGGAGCAGAAGGAAAAAATGAGAAAAAACAGCTTATAAAAAAGGGGGAAATTAACTTGAGATGCCGAAGTAAGCGCAAACACGCAATTACACACACACAAACACACACATATTCATTTAGTCTCCATGCTGCTCTTGGCAGTCTGAGAGTGTATTAGAACCATATGGAAATAATAGATTTTTTGGAAGCGGCTGCTCTCATAAATCCCCCCGTTGCTCTCAGTGCATGACCACAAATGTTTGTGACTGTGTGTGCACGTGCATGTGTGTATGAGCACATGTCCAGCTTGTGCTTCGTCAAGCAGAGTCCTTACGGAGCCGTAGGCTACAGTGGAAAGAGTTTTAACATACCTGCACTTAAACAACAGCTGAAACGTCAGGCAGACACTTAATACTACTGTACTGACTATAACCCTATAGGATGCACACACACACACACACACACACACACACACACACACACACACACAAGCGCATGCAAACAAGCACACACATTGTTGGAAAGTAACATTTTCACTGCTCTTTAAGCCATGTGAACAATGTGGTTCAATGGATGTTAATACTCTTTTGTTGAATTGGTTAGTCCACAACTTTGGTTGTAAAATATTTCACCTCAAATCTCCAAATACTGTCTAAACAATTATCCTCAGCTACTCTTTGTTTTTTTTTGTGCTAATCAGCACATGCTAGCCACTACCATAGCTAGCTTAGATAGTAAAAATGGTAAACAATATACCTGCTAAACTCCAGATATTTTGCTTCTACTTCTATTTTGTTGTATTTTCTTCTGTTGCTTGCAAGCGTAGACTTGTTGCTATATAGCTTATGTAAATAGTTTTAGTTTACTGTTTTCCTCATCCAGCTATAAAGCTATTAAAATATAAAGCTATTAAAATATAAAGCTATTGCTAGAAGCCAGTCAGCTTCGCTAATCACGAAGACTGGAAGCAGGCAGGAAATACAAGCTTGGCCACGTCCAAAAGTCACAAAATCCACATTCCAAGCCTTTAAAGCTCCCTAATCAACTGCTTTGAGATTTCAGTAGGCAGATTTCTCAACCTTTGGACCGAGCCAAAGGTGCTATGCCAAGCAAACGATTCTGCTAGCGTATCATTAGCGTATCTGTCTATTTATATTCAATGGACAGATATGAGAGTTGGGAAAATGAATATTTCCCAACTCTCATGTGAAAATATTTATTTCAGACATCTTTATTTTTTTGCTTAAGTATCTTATTAAATGAAATATATTTGCTGTACCATATAGTTGGAGTATTTATACATCATTACTTGTACTAGACCAAACACAATGAGCTTCATTAGGTATCAAACCACAAGGACTCTGTCTGGTTAGAAACCAACCAAGTATACCGCCCTTTGATATATATCTGGTACACACACACACACACACACACACACACACACACACACACACACACACACACACACACACACACACTGACAGAGCTCTCAGGTTTCCTCGTCACTCTGATCCCTGTCAGCTCAGTAATCTTCTTGTCTTTCACTCCTCTCTTTCCTCTTTTTTTCTTTTCTTTCTGAACATCTCTCGCAGCTGCCACAAACAGCTGGAAAGTTCCTCCACACTTGTCTGCAGAGACCAAAGTACTGGAGTATAGTCCGTTTTAGCCACACACAGACACACACTCAAGCACACAGACGTCCTTATTTCCCATGTGAACCAGTATCTGCCACAAAGTGGAACTAAAGAAAACTCTGGTGGATAAACCAACAAAGCATGCTCTAAATGTCACACTTTCCCTGCATTTTGTTTCTGTCTGTGAGTAAAGGAATGCATGTGAGGCTGTCTTGTCACAAGGCTGTCATAAGGATCATTCTGCTCTGTAGAAGTGTGAAACCAGCATATGAAACTTTATGTGTGCACTCCTCCACAGTTTCACGCTGCTTGAACAGGCTTATTTTGTCATATTTATGAGCGTATATGTTATAATCTGGCTAAAGCCTCTTATACGCGAGTGTGTTTGGACTCTATCCGCTGAATACGTGAGCATGCGGCCTGTATGTGACCTGATGGTTTTAAGAAACACAGTAAATCTGCCCCGGATGTGTGTGTGAAATGTGGTTGTTAATGGTTGTAAATATTTCTGCTGGACATAAATATGTTGAGCCCCGGTTTAATCTGGATGGTTTCTGTGTATCTGTGTATGTGTGTGTGCCTGTGGGACCGTAAACATGAGGTTTACAACAACCCCAAACACACACATAAACATTGTGTGAGCAGCTATGGGACCTTTTAGTACAGTAACAAGAAAAGAAGAAAAGAAGGAAAGAGCCACCATAAAAGTAGAAAAAAAGGGAATGCGAATTGAAAAGAAACAATGCAGAAAAAGTCAAGTGTGCATTCATGTGTTGGTGATTGTACAAGCACTAAAGAGCGAGGGGATTCTCCTCCTAAAAAGTGTTTGGGGTGTGTAAAAACAGAGGGAGGCTAATGGACTGAATGAAGGAGGGAGGGCGGGGCCGGGGGGGTCTCTGTGTTTCATGGTTCTGGAAGGGAATTGTGTGTTATTTTTGCAAGGCTGGTATACTTCTCTTTCCCTCATTAACTGTGAGTAGATGGTAAAGGGGTCTCCTAATAACAGGCAGAGGGGAGCGGGAACAGAGGGAGAGGTGGTGACAGAGGGGAGGGGAGAAAGGGAGAGTGACAGTTACTGAATGGGCCAAGGAGGGGAGAGAAGAAAGACAGATTGCTTTTACAGGAGCAAAATACTTAAAGAAGGTTCAGGCTGAAGGAGGGAGAGGGAGTTACTGTAGTGTGTGTGGAGAAGCATTGCAAGAATTTGTAAGAATTTTAAAAAAGGTAGAATTTGCCAGTTTAATTTATTAAGCTGAATATCAGCTCTCATCCTCGCTCCGACAACTGAACCACAGAAGTGCCAATATTTTGAACAACATCTAGACCTGGAGTGTGATATTACCTTTATACATGATTGATTGATTGATTGATTGATTGATTGATTTTATTGTAATAATGTGTCAGGCATAAACAATGTGCCCAGACCAAAACAGGCTAACAAGACATCATTATCAATACCAAGAGACTGGAAACCAAAAGTAAACACTGAACAATAATAATAAAAACAAACCAATCCTTATGTTTCTTCCAGGCTTTAGAGACCAACATGGCCATCTTATAAACAATGAAACTATAAACAACACTTCCATCCTGTCGTCATCAGAGCTCCAAAACAGTTCAGGATTTATATTGTACAACAGTACTATGACTACGTGGCAACCTCCAGTCTTGAAAAACGAAGCCGATGCGGAAGTGCTCGCTTGAGGCTGGCTCTAGGAACACCGAAAGTCACATACATATGTCATGTTAATAGTGTTACAAGTAGCGATAGTATGAGTGATGTTTTGTACTTTATATCATGAATTCCCTCATGTAAGAAGAGGAAAACAAGGTCAAAACTAACTGTTGTATAAGAAGTTTTTAAAATTCTTTTTTCTTTTTAGGGTTGCTACTAGAAACAGGAAATGAGAGAGGAGAGGGGTTTGCTGACTGGAATCAAACCAGGACCTACTGTTAAATCCAATGCATTTAAAATAACCAGGACAGCTGTTTCAGTTTCACCCATATTTTAACTCTAAATACTTCTTCTTAGCAGAAAACATTGATCAAGGTGAGGGATGGAAACAAGTACTTTTGAATCTGGGTTCTTGTAATTGATTGGCACTTGTATTGAAGCATGTGAAACAATACCAACCCCTTAAAATAAAGTAACAAACTAAATATTTATGAGAAAGTTTGTTGCTCAAGATTAAATGAAAAATACTTTCTCTTCCTGTGTCATGTTTTTTTAGTGTTGTTGATCATTTACACTCCCTTAACAATCTAGCAGATACTGTAACATATAGCTCAACGAAGGCATGACTGATATCTGGTTATCTTCATTATGATTACAACAACATGAGTCACAAGAAACATGTGTGGTCAGAAAAGATGTAAACAAGTCAGCAGATTACTTGACCAAAGTGAGCCTAAACAAAATGCACTGCACAGGAGAAAAGAAAGATGAAAAACAAGAAGACTATATGCAGACTTTGATGATTTATTACAATAAGCAGTTGGGAAAATTATTTATCACTATGGCCTGTTTTGTCTTTCAAAGATAGGCTACACTGGGTCTTATGAACTCTCTAAATGCTTGTGTTTGTTTCTCCATTTGAATTTTTTGAGTGATGTCTCAGAAGCTTGTCAGGCTGCAACAATGAATGGGATTAATCTGGGGATATTATTGTCAATAACAGAGATGACCCAAACTTGTTCACCTCCCCAACTTGTATTAAACCAAGATTTAACTGCATTCACAACTTCTTTTCTCAAATACAATCAAAGAAAAGCAACTCTAATCCGCTTAAAGGTGCCCTGATGCATAAGCAAACATAAAAAAACGAGGCCTGACGTGAAAGATATTAAAACTGGCAGCTTTGGAGCGGCTGACTGACTGACGGGGTGAAAAAGTGATTGCAGCGGAGAGCAGGTGAAAGAAAAGTGAATCCAGCTGCTGAAAGAGAGACAGTCGGTGTTTTTATACGGGAGCAGAGAACATTTTTCGATGTTTTACAAGCAGGGAGGGGGGCCGGAGAGAAATGGTTTCTGTGCACTATATAAGAGGATGACTGGGGGAGGTTACAGCCTGAAGGCTTAAAGATTTGTTCTACACACACACACACACACACACACACACACACACAAGCCAAGGTCCAGATCACACATAACACTGTGACGTGAAACACAAACACCCAGAGTGGCCCAGACAAGACTAATGAGTTTCGAGGAGGGACGGATTATGAGTTAAGCGGGAAACCTTTCACCACGTGTTT